TCAGGTAGTCAAAAGAAATTTGCTGTATGGTGCTGTGAAATAGTTGCATCCATGAGCCCTCTGCTCTTTACCCATAGGGAGCAAAGACACAGTCTTTTTGCAAGCTGTCCCAGTGCCATATTGAGCATCTTCCTTTTACCGCAAAGAATTATTGCTTCCTTTGGTTAAGGTTGGGATGCCCCTCAGGAGGCACAGTTGAAAAATGAAGACCTTTCTCGTTGTTCTTCTGATATCCAAGTATCTTGCAAGAACACCTCTATAGCAGGTAGACAAGGCAGGGTGTCATTGCAATCTGGCCGCCGACTGAGTGTAGCAGACTGAGTGTAATCCCCTTTGACGTTTTGCCCCTTGGAGGCAACTCCTGCCCTCCCCTCTCCCCTTACGACCCTGCCCCCTTAAAATATGTGGAGCTCAGCAGACTGTTTATGCTGATAAAAATGAGCAAATAATAGGCGTGAAACAACATGGAACACTTCAGTGAATCAAATGGAGAGGGTTAAGCATTACCCCAGTAATGACTGGACGGGAGGACTGTCCTTGTGGAATGTGTCCCAAAAGGGGTGAGCAATGGAGCAAACCCAGAAAATCTCATTCTCAGCTCTCCCTGACAGATGACCTCGTCTGCACTGTCTTTTGCTTCATGGTGATGAAGGTGGAATAAGACCCTTGAATAATATTTCCATCTCTGAATTCTTTAAACCCACTTGAGATCAGTGCGGTCCTGCAGTCTCTCTATTAGAACTGGAACAGAGGCCCAGAGGAGAGAACTGAATTTTCAGCACTGGATTCCATGTTGAGAATGAAAGAGACAATAATTGAAAAGCTTTTCTTTTGGAAATTTTGCAAAATCAGAGTGGGTTTTTGACCAGGATTTCTTGGTGACCTCTCCTGAGAGAGCAGGTGCCTGAGGATTTCTTGCTGAGTATCTTGGCATCTGTCAGACTCCTTATGACTTCATTTTAGTTCAGGGAGTCTGTTTCCTAGCCACTGATTTCATGCACAGTTCCTGGCATGTCTCATATCTCTAAAGCGATGTCACCCTTGTATTTTTTTTTCAGATGTAATCTTTTATGTGACAGTGAGGTGTCTTACTTGTAAGTAAACAGCTATAACCTCCCAAGTGGTTTTTCTTCTGGATTTTATTTACTCAGTGAAAAATACTGAGGAACCTGAGATCCTTCCGGGTGCATTTTGGTGTCTGCCTAACCTTGACATGGATTTGGAGGCCAGGCTCAAGGCTCAAACTTCTTGTTGGAATAGCACTAAATCATTAGGATCCCCTGAGGACAGACAGTTCCGGCCATCATTATTTGGTAGGCCCTTGCACACTTCCACACAAATGCATTGTCATGAACGTGGAGCAGAAGAGATTCTAGGGCTCCGTGTGTAACGGCATAATTTGTCAAGAGGCCCAAGACCTGGAGCTGGCATGGACTCCCTCTCCTCCTGACCCAACCCACCTACCTGCCAAGACCTGGAGTTGGCATGGACTCCCTCTCCTCCTGACCCAACCCACCTACCTGCCACATCAGTTGGCCACCTTGTTCTTTTGAGTCCACCTTTGGATGAGCAGTCAATCCTTTTTGATTTATGCCACCTCTCCATTCAGAGCTTTCTTATTCTTGGGCTCAGAGGCCTTCCAATGGGTCTCGCTGCTTGCTGTCTTACCTCCTTCTAATGAATATGATCATGATTCTTCTGTATTTAGACAACTCCACAATGAGGATGATGATGGTGGCAGCTAACATGTATGTATGTATGTATGTATGTATGTATGTATGTATGTATGTATTTAGAGATGGATTCTGACTCTGTTGCCCCGGTACAGTGGTGTCATCTTGGCTCACTGCAACCTCCGCCTCCTGGATTCAAGCGATTCTCACGCTTCAGCTCCCCAAGTAGCTGGGACTACAGATGCACGCCACCACACCCAGCTAATTTTTGTATTTTTAGTAGAGACAAGGTTTTACCATGTTGGCCAGGCTGGTCCAGAACTTCTGACCTCAGGTGATCTGCCCACCTTGGCCTCCCAAAGTGCTGAGATTACAGGCGCCTGCTTCCACGCCCAGCCAGCAACTAACATTTATTAAGTGCTGACTATACTCCTGTCAAGCACTATTATAATTTGTCTTTCCAATGGCCTTTTTATAAGGGAAGTACCACTATTATACCCATTATGTAGATGGTAAAACTGAGGCACAGAAAGGCTATGTAAGTTTCCCAAAGTCATGTACTAATTGATGAAGAGCCAGGGTTTGAGCTCTGCAGGAATAGCCGACTCCTTGTGGCCATTGAGCCGGGACTCCCTCTCCATCTGCCTTTTCTCCCTTAGCCCTCCTGACTGCAGCCATGCCAGGCTTTTTAATGTTCGGAACCCCAACTCCAGCCAATCACTGGACCTCTGCCTGTGATCTTTCTGCCTCGTGCCTCCCGGTTCTGTGTGTGCCTTCAGACTCCTATCTGGCAGTGGTATCTGGATGGACCAGTGCATAGAAATCACATGAGACACTCCATAAATGTAGACTCCTAGGTCCTGACCCTGGAGATTCTGATTAGCAGATCTGAGGTAGGGCCAGGTGCCCGGATTTGCACAGGAAGTCAGGGACCCCTGCTGCTGACTGCTGTTTTCCCAGATGCTTGGCACACTCTGTCACAATCATGTTTTCAGTCCTCTGTGCTCCATTCAAATGGGTAGGGACAGTGTCTTTTGTTTCTGGAACCTCTTTTCTTGGCATATAGTGGGCACTCAGGAAATAGAAGTTTGCTTGAATCCTAGTACCAGTTTACTGTCTCCTTGGAAAGGCTGAAAGGAAGAATATGATGTCTAAGCAGCTTCACTAAGAGAAAACAAAAAGTTTGTAAAATAGAATTGGCCTTCTAATCTACGTATTCTGGCACAGCATTGAGCTTCCTAGAGAGTCATATTCATGCTAGCCCTGAGTTGTATCAACAGCAGCCACTAGAATGGTAACTTGATGCCACGAATGAATTCTGGTGAGCTTCATTGTGAGTAAGATTCCCAGTTTGACCATCTCTACCCAGATCCTGTGGGACCTCCATATGAATAATGAGGAGGCATGGAATATGTAGCATGCTGCAGTTGCCTGGCACCCAGTGTGTACTGTGAGGTCATCAGTGTCAAATCAGTCATTGTAGCAAGAGTTTGGAGTCAAAAGGAGCAACAGAGAACCTCAAACATCTCCTAAGAGAGGAAGCAGAGAACAGTTACCTTGGCTGTCATTATGGGGCTTTTGTATTTATGTTTGGAATGGTGCTGGGTTCTAGTATTAATACATGATTTTCTCTGATCTTTGCAAAACCTGCCTGAGTTAGGAATTGTCATTCCCATTTCATTCATGAGCAGGCTGAAGTTAAGAGTAGTTAAGTACCAGCTGAAAGGGAGGAGGAGCCTGAGAGCAATCTGGGCACCCGTTTCCCCCCTCCTCTTATTGATGAATAAATGAATGAGACAGGGTCTGACTCTGTCGCCCATCCTGGAGTGCAGTGGCACGATCTCGGCCCACTGCAGCCTCCACCTCCCAGGCTCAAGCAATCCTCCCACCTCAGCCTCTATAGTGACTGTGACTACAGGTGCATGACACCACACGCAGCTAAAATTTTTTTATTTTTTTGTAGAGATAGGGTTTCGCCATGTTGCCCAGGCTGGTCTTGAACCCCTGGGTTCAAGCGATCTGCCTGCCTCAGCTTCCCAAATGATTGAGACTGCAGGCGTGAGCCACTGCACCCAGCCCTCTCCTTCCCTTGAGCTTACATCCTACTGTCCTGTAGCCAGCTCCAAGACGTTGGCCTTTGGTTCTGTCTTCGGGCTGAACTCTATTTCAGGAAGTTTCTTAGTCGTTCTTTCATAGAGTTCTTTCATCATACCTCAGTACCTACCTGGATGAGCACTCAAGATGTTACGTATTCCCACCTGACTTCTTTATTACTGCTGGAAGATATGGTGTCCCACACCCAAGGATCCCACCCACAGTCCCCAGCTGCATGTGTCAATTACTGTGAGCTATTCAAGGGATACAGACTGAGGTAAATGAACCACCAGTGGAAGAATGTGGATGTTTTATTACAGGAAATGCTTAGCTCTTTATTGCAGTTATGTAATAGCCGGCAATCATGATAGCTGAGAGGCATAAAAATGAGAGGTAGCAGCAGAGTTTATGGCATTCTTTATAACTGGGGATTCTGTATGTGCATGTGTGTGCATGTGGGTGCATGTGTGTGCATGTGTGTTCTGCACGCATCTCCACAGCACATTCTCTGGAGGTAACATGACCATCAGGCCTCGAACTCTTTTATAAGCAATAGATTGTGGCTGGACATTGAAAATTTAGTTTCTGTAGCTAGAAAAGACTCTTTTCAAATGCCATCTAGAACAGTAGTTCTCTGAGTGCGGTTCCTGGGTCAGGAGCCTTGGCATCAGTGGGAACGTGTTAGGAATGCAGATTCTTGGGTTCTACCTTGGACTGAATTCAGATTTGGGAGCGGGGCCCAGTTATCTGTGTTTTAATCACCCCCTCCATCAGGGGAATCTGATATGCTGAAGGCTGAGCCTCACTCCCCTGGAAAGTGACTCCTGTAAAATGGCAGGTGCTGGGTCATGTGAACAGTGGCTGTTTTACCTCCACTAATTACCTAGACGCTAGGAATAAGAATATGGATAAGACCTAAACTAAATTTTTTAGCTGAATTTTGTAAAGTCTGAACAAAGTCTGTGTGCCTTTTAATCTTTCTTGTAATCTTTTCAGAATCTGTCTTTATATACATTTTTTGGCTTCTAAGTAAACATTATTGGCACTGGTTTTGATAGGAACTTTACTCCAAGTGTATTGACTTAGTAGATATGTTAAAAAGGTTATTGCTTAGTTTGTGGAAATAATACAAGCTGAGACTTTAACTGATATTTGCATTTTCATTTAGGTTCCACTGTTTTCTCTTTTGAATGAAAAGTATAATCCTATTAAATCTGAAATATTTTCTTACAGTGATCCGTACGTGAAACTTTCATTGTACGTAGCAGATGAGAATAGAGAACTTGCTTTGGTCCAGACAAAAACAATTAAAAAGGTAGGTGTCGATTTTAACCAAACTTCATTTAAGTCATAATTTGATCCAATTATGCACAGTCATGTGCTGCATAACGCCCTTTTGGGTCAAGGATGGAGTACTTACACAGTGATAGTCCCATGAGATTATAATAGAGCTGCCGTATACAAGTGCATCACTTTTATCTTTTTTCTTTTCTTTTTTTGAGATGGAGTCTCGCTCTGTCGCCCAGGCTGGTGTGCAATGGCGCCATCTCAGCTCACTGCAACCTCCACCTCCTTGGTTGAAGTGATTCTCCTGCCTCAGCCTCCCGAATAGCAGAGATTACAGGCTCCCGCTACCATGCCTGGCCAATTGGTTTTTTGGGTTTTTTTTTAGTAGAGATGGAGTTTCACCATGTTAGCCAGACTGGCCTTGAACTCCTGACCTCAGGTGATCCACCTGCTTTGGCCTCCCAAAGTGCTGGGATTACAGGCATGAGCCACTGTGCCCAGCCCACTTTTTATCTTTTATACTGTATTTTCATTTTAAGCATCTTTCAGTATTAAATCTAGAAGTTTTCCAAGACTTTTCAGTACTAACCCAAGATAGCGATTCACGTTTTTACTTAAATGCCTACAAAAACAGTATCCTAAAAATGTCATAAGTTGTAACATTTTTTCTTGCACAGAATACAGCAAAAGGATTTGTTTTTGTCTTTGTATGTTTGAAACTTAAAGTAATTTAAAATACATTTAATGAAATGGAGCTGTTTGTGGAATTGGTAGGCACATGAGGAATAGTTTAACTTGAAACAACTACTTCTAAAGGAAGCAAAATACTTGGTTAGCTACATGGAAACAGAGAAAATATATTAATAAAGCTATACATGTATGTATATATCTTATTTTCCTAATTTTTATGTACATGATTTCATTAAAAATTTGTTTCCATAGGTATGTCTTTTAGTTATTTTTTATTTATTTTGAGAGGGAGTGTCACTCTGTCACCCAGCCTGGAGTGCAGTGGCACAATCTCGGCTCACCGCAACCTTTGCCTCCCACGTTCAAGTGATTCTCCTGCCTCAGCTTCCTGAGTAGCTGGGATTATAAGTGTGCACCACTATGCCCGGCTAATTTTTGTATTTTTAGTAGAGGCGGGATTTTGCCATGTTGGCCAGGCTGGTCTGGAACTCCTGACCCCAGGTGATCCACCCGCCATAGCCTGCCAAGTGCTGGGAATACAGACGTGAGCCACCGTGCCTGGCTGATAAGTACGTCTTAATTTGCCTATCTGCATGTATTCATAGACATATGTAGTATATATATGTAAATATTTTTACCCTATATTTGGAGGCTTTATTGAAGATGCATGTTCTCTATTTAAAATACTTGGCTGGGTGCGGTGGCTGGTGGCTCTAATTCTAGCACTTTTGGAGGCCGAGGCTGGCAGATCAATTGAGCCTGGGAAGTTGAGGTTGCAGTGAGCCGTAATCATGCCACTGCACTCCAGACTGGGCGACAGAATGAGACCCTGTCTCAAAAATAAATAAATAAATAAATAAAACAAAACAAACCCCTTTCATCTGTGCTTTAGTATTATTCATGGGTTACTATGATTTTTTTCTTTACCACCTTTAGAGGCGGGTGCTCAGGTAGTCTAACACTTTGCTGAACATTTTCTGGACAGCATGAGTGCTTCAAAAAAATTGTAACTGTCTTGCTGCCATGCAGGCGGCCAGGTCCTTTTGTGTAAGGAACCATAACTGCAGTGTGTCCTCCACTTGGCATTGGGACTGGCATTAAAAATCTGTTTTGCAAACAGGAGCCAGTATTTTGATTAGCAGGGAGGATGCCTGCGAGGGACGGAGGCCATTGTTCCCTGTGTTAGGCGTTGTTGCTGGTTCAGTTTCTAGGCGAGTGGGGGCTGTCTAGAAGGCTCACCAGGAAGGCAGCTGGGAAACTTGATTGCCTGCTAGATACGGAGCCAGGACCAAAGCCGGTGGTGATTGGGGCTATTGCAATGTATTTTCTTCGAAAGGGAGGTCCTCCTTCTCCCTCCCTTTCCACGGTCGAGGGTGTAGCCCCGTAGCTGGGTTTGCTCTGCTTCTCCTGCTGCCCACCTCCTGGTTCGTATGCCTTTGCTGCATTCGTCATCCTCCTCTCCTTGTGGTGTTGTGACTGGTTGGTTCTTCATTCGTTTTGTGCTCTCCTGTCTTGTTGCTTTCCTCGCCTGTCATTTCCCATGTGCATTCCATGAAGCTGCCCTCCGGGACTGCAGCCCGAGGCAGGCCAGGCCTGCTGCTCCACTCCCCTCCCCTCGCTCATTACCATCCTTGGCTTCATTCACACAGGAGAAAAGCATGAACCCCATTATTTAGGATTGAATTCACTGTGGAGTTGTGGGTGGGGAAAGTGCTGAATTTTTTAAAAAGCCGGTTCAGTGTTGTGTGAGCTCTGTGTTTCCTATTTTTATGTTGCAATCTATTGATTTTTTTTCATCTCCCTGAACTGATCTATTAAAGGAAATAGATTGATGAAGATAAGTATCATTTTGACTAAAAATATCCGTCGCTGTTGGTGAAGTGATGATTTTTCAGTCTCCGATTTTTACATACAATTTTTAAGAGCTGTGTTTAAGAGGCTTATGCATGTGCAGATGCACAAACACACGTGTACAGTCTTCCTTCCTAGAACGTGCGTCCTCTTAGTTTTGGGGGATATCTGGCAGTCCTTTCTTCCGTGCTGAGGACAAAGGTATCCTTGCCATCTCCTTGTGAGATGTATATTTAAGGAGATTGATAGAAAGATGAACAGATGGATGAATGAAGAGGAAGACTGAAGACAAGTAGTTTTTAACCTGGTTATTTTTGGAGAAAAAAAAATAATTCACTTTTGGTTTATATTTGGTCTTTTTTTTTTCTTGTTATAAAATCTGATCCTCAGTATTGCTCTCTATAAAATGTTAAGATTTCAATATTTATATAAACAATGAACATGTTCAACTTTCCCTCACCTGCTTCATTACTCTGCAAAACAGATTCGTAGCAGGTAGAGGGAAGTCAACAAAGTTCATTTCCTTCTTGGTAGAATAATCATATCAATGCTAATTTCTTGAAGGAATTTTTTATATTTTCACAATGACTCTTTCCAGGCCTCTGATGTTTTTCCTTCTGGTGATAGAAGCAGTTTAAGGTTTCATATCTATGAAGCATCTGTTTCATAAATACATTCCCTCCCGCTCCAGTTTGGTTTATATGCTAGTCTCAAATAATTGACTAAATGCTTCTCTTAGCTTTCTTTAATCAAAAAAATGTTTAAGCAAATATGTAGACTGTATTATACTAGTAACTGCTAATGTTTGAAAGCCTAAAAGATACTACAAGATAATTTCTTTTCCAGACGCTGAACCCAAAATGGAATGAAGAATTTTATTTCAGGGTAAGTTTTTCGTTGTTTGGTAATAATTGTTATTGATACGTCCAGGTTGACTATCACAGTCAGTTCATCTTGAGGAAAAGCTCTTAAATTTTTAATGAGAAATTCCTTTTAGGATGGAAAAATAGGTAGCCTCCTAATGTGTCCCAAATTTTGAAAGACTAGAAGTAGTGGTCACATAATCCGGACTTGTTTCATTGAGGAGTGTTTTGGAGATGTCAAAAGAAAATTATCCAAACACCATGTTTCATCTTTTGAACTCAAACCTCTCTTTACGAAACAACATAACATATCATTTATGGGAACGGTTTAATTCTGTGAGATGGGTTATGAAATATTTTAGAGTAAAACACTAGAGGCAACATGATTAAAAAGAAACATAAAACTTACCAATTATGTTCTAGTTAGGAAAATTTTGGTAATTGAAATATTGAGTGCATATATATGTGTATAATATAAAATTACTTCTGGAATCTAAATACGGTGGAATTAGGTAAGATTTCCTCAACCTTTTATATTTAATATTTAGAATAGGTATATGTCAAAATGACTGAAATATGTGAATTAGCAGAGATTTGTGCTTATTGAGCATTTGTGATTGCTGTGTTTTACTACTGAAATTTTGGAAATATTAGACTACTCAGCTATTTAATTGAAAGAAAAGGCTTTCTCTTCAAAACGAAGGTATCTTAATTGTATAGTGGTGATATTAAAAACTGCTTGCCTCCAGAAATAATCCAGGTCTTCTGATTAGTGCAGATTTCCAAAGGCCAATATTGCCATGAGGTCCATTATAATTGGTCCTGATTTCTTCCTCTTAATCGCAGTAGTATTTTTTGTGCTCCAAACTTAGACTACTACATACAGCATCTGCTTTCTATTATGTTCAGAGCTGAAATGTGGCACGGATATTTTCATACTTGGTGAAATCCTATGTACAGCCTCTACCAGATGTATTTGAAATTACCCTGTGGAGGACTGAAAAAAAAAGCTAATAGGGGCTGACAGATGCTCTTGGCCTTTAGTTAACTCTCAAATACAGCTTTCCACTTGTGAACCTCTAAAGTGTTTAGACTCCTTTCAGTGGAACACTGGCCACAATTACATAAATGTTAGTACATCCCATACTTTTTTCAACTAATCTTGGCAGTAGGCACATTTAAGTTTTATTTTTGTTAGTTTTTGTTAAGGTTTTTTTTGTTTGTTTTGTTTTGTTTTTTGAGATGGAGTCTCACTTTGTCACCAGGCTGGAGTGCAGTGGCACGATCTCAGCTCACTGCAACTTCTGCCTCCTGGGTTCAAGTGATTCTCCTGCCTCAGCCTCTCCTGAGTTGCTGGGACTATAGGCATGTACCACCATGCCCGGCTAATTTTTGTATTTTTAGTAGAGACAAGGTTTCACCACGTTGGCCAGGATGGTCTCGATCTCCTGACCTCGTGATCCACCCGCCTCGGCCTCCCAAAGTGCTGGGATTACAGGTTCTTAACATCTTTATATTTATTCATTTTATAAATCTTTATTGGGTGCCTACCATGTGCTAGCTCCTGCCTGTAGCCTGTGGTCGCATTAGTGAGCAGTGCGACCCTTCATAGAGCTTCTAAACAGAGAGCAAACTCCGTCTGCTTGTTCTGTCACTAGGCTGCAGGCAGACCACAGGACCAGAAGCACAAGTTGAGCTACCTGTGCTTGTATGGTCAAGTGTTATTTCATGCGTTCTCCACCATGAAGCAGCGAGGGCCTAGGTCACCTCTCTGGCTTTACCATTTAGAGCCTTAGTGACCCTGGAAAGGCCAGCTGAGGACTCTCAGTCTCCCTGGGATCCTTTATCTCTTACGTAGGAGAGAGAATGCTTACTTGGAAGGGTTGTTTCCAGGATTTGCATGCAATTATGTAAATGAGAACATGTAGCTCTATGTCACACACATGGTTGGTGCTTAGTAAATGATACCTGAGTTTGGAAGATGATATGGGCCATTTTGGTGAGGTTTTGGTAAAGAAAAGGAAGCAAAAAGATATTGAAAGCCCAGTAGCTCTCACATTGCCCCACAGTTCCAGGTCTGTCTCATGGTTCACAGCCTAGGCTCTGGAGATAGGCAGGACAGATCTAGTGCAGGTCCTGGTTGCCCTACACATTAGCTGTGGGCTCATGGGCAAGTTACTTCACTGAACCTCAGGGTCTCAGCTCCTCATTTATAAAATTGCGTGATAGTTATATACCGTAGGATTGCTGTGAAGATTAAAGGAGATCATAGATTGTTGATATTCAGTAACAAGACAGTGCCTAAAAAATAAGCACACAGGCTGGGCACAGTGGCTCATGCCTGTAATCCCAGCACTTTGAGAGGCCAAGGCATGCAAATAGCTTGAGCCCAGGAGTTCAAAACCAGCCTGGGGAACATGGTGAAACCTCATCTCTACAAAAAAAAAATACAAAAATTAGCCAGGCATGGTAGTCCAGGCTACTCAGGAGAATGAAGCAGGAGGATCAATTGAGCCTGGAAGGTTGAGGCTGCAGTGAGCCATGATCATGCCACTGCAGACCAGCCTGGGCAACAAAACAAGACCCTGTCTCTGTCTGTCTGTCTGTCTCTCTCTCTCTCTCTACACAGACACACACACACTTGTAAGCTATTACAATCTTCTTCATTATTTTTATCATTACTATTACTGCTATCAGGCCTAAGAAATATCCTCAGGAATAGACATTTTTTGATCTACAGTCATGAGAATGCCTTGTATAGAGGTTAGGAACTCTTTAAAGCTATTTACAACTATCCTTTCTTATTTTAGAAAAACAGCTAAGAGTCTTTTCTTCTTTGCTATGCCTAAATTCGGGGCAGTATAATATAGAAATCAGTAATAGGAAATTTTATGTAGTACACATAGAATTTCCAGAACAGTAGGATAATTGTTCACATTATACAATTGAGCTGGGCTCATTGTAAAGCAGTATTTTATTCTTTCTGTTCCTTACGTCGCTATTCGAATGATTCCTGCTCATTTAAAAAACACTATTTATGTTCCTTATAGGTAAACCCATCTAATCACAGACTCCTATTTGAAGTATTTGACGAAAATAGACTGGTAAGTGGATGCCTGTATTTGAATTTTGCTTCATTTTGTATTAACTGGATTTTCAGAGCAGCATCTTTAAAACTTTTGTTTATGTTGCACTTATGACAGTATATGTGCCCAAAAAGAAGACTGTTTTTGTCCCACTACTAGTTTGACGTTCAAAATCCTAACAAATACTTCTATGTTGCTAGGATACAAAATGTATTTGTGTGTGTGTGTATTTTTATTGCAGTTAATGTTAACGAAAGTCACTGGTGATAGTATCAGCCCGTATGCTCATGCTGTAATGTTGGGAGTGCAGAACGGTAGGCAGATCTCCAAAGAGGCCATCAAGAATGTAAACAAACTTTACTCAGTTTTTAAATGAAAGCCAGACCCTAATATTGGGATGCATTCAGTAGCAAATCTATGGTAATTCTCTCTGGGAAAATAACAGTCTAATTAATTGTGTATAGCAAAAAGTGAATCTACATTTAGCAGGTAAAGTCAAGCTGTATTTTAAAAGTGGTTGCTTTCTCAAGAGAGAACCTTAGAACGTACCTTTACAGAACCAAAGATATGCCTGAGGCATATAACAGATACAAAGTAACATTTTATATATAGATTTATATATAATATGTTTATGAAGATCGATACATAAATGATATAAAAATGATTTCATTTTGTTTTTATTTTTTATTTTTTTTAGAGAAAGGGTCTCCCTCTGTCACCCAGGTTGGAGTGCTGTGGTGCAGTCATAGTTCACTGTAACCTCAAACCCTTGGGCTCAAACAGGCCTCCAGGATAACTAGGACTACAGGCATGAGCCACCGTGCCTGGCCAGATTTCATTTTAGAAATGGACTTTATGAAGCACATTTTGCTTTCTTAACTAAAACGTGTACATCAAGTAGCTGTGAACCAGGTGTTCCAACTATGAAAATGAGCACTACCATGTTAAGTCCCTAAGGTACCTTCAGAAGTGATGCTATAATTCAGTGCAGTCAGTCATTCTCAGATTTACCCTCCCTGAAACTTGTATGGTATGTTGACTGGTTCAAAGGTGTTCTTAAGAATCCTTTCTGCAGAATTCAGCTGAAACTCCAGATTTTTTAATAGCTGGATGTTCACAGAATATTTGAACTGGAGGGGCCTCATACAATAACTCATTTAACTCCTGTTCTTATAGATGAGAAGAACCAGGTCTAGAGCCTTTACATAAACACATCAGTCAGTGGAGGTGCCAGGGGCTGACCTGCTGGCCTCCTAAGTCCCAGCCCAGTGGTGGTTTGATTGGTATTATTCTCCAAAAGAGAAAACAGATTCTGGCCTACCATCCATCCTAGTATATTTTCCATTAAAGTAAGGGATGTTGGGTGATGAACAATCCTACAGTGTCACTAAACCACTTTTGTTGTATGCATAAACGTACTTTCTTGTGAGATTGAATGAGAGATTCTGCTGAGGGTGCAGTTCTTGTCTCTCCATCTCTCATCCAGTGAGGACCAAGTGAGTTAGACAGTATTGAGTAGTACAGCAGTACGTTCCTGGAGACACGGGTGTGTCTGTAGACTAATCCTTATTCTCCAGTTATTGAGTATAATATCTCTTCTTTAACATGAGGAAGGGGTCAAATTTGAGGAAAAACGGCTTCTTGTTTGATGTGTTTTAGTTCATTATTTTCTTCTATTAAGAGAAATTTACTGTTAAAAAATTGTTTCCCATTTCCGTATCTGAAATAATGACTGTAGTTGAGGTGATCTTGCCCTGGGTCTGAAATTATGCTTCCAAACCAAAACTTTTAAGAAATCTTGTATGAATACAAGCTGTATCTGAAAAATTGTGTTTTATAATATTGATGCCTAGTTTTGCCCCAGGTCATCTGCAGTGTGGTTACTATGCAAAGAATGCTGGTGTTGCTGTTTTGTTTTTCTTTGTTGGCTATTAACCCAGCGGAGACAATATGTGGCTATGGTAGTACTTGGAAGTTCTAGCATTACACAGACTAGCTTCCATTTCTCTCTAGAGGTCATTTTTGGCATTTAAAACACATGCTTTTAGAAAACAGATTTGGATGTATGTAAACACAGGGTTAATCCACCACACCCTGGATGCTAGAGCTATTGACAAAGTCATGCTTTGCAGATTTTAAAATAAACTTTTTGTCACTCTTGCAGCTTGGTATTTTCCCCTCCTATTTTTTCAACCCCTCTAAATAAACCTCTTTGTTAACTAATTGGTGTTTCTGGATCATAGAAAATAGTGAGTTTAAAATACAGCATATTTCCAAGCTAACCACAAATCTGAGGACAGTTTTTCGACTGTGCACCTTTCCTTCCATTTCTTAAGTCTTTTTTGGTCCTTTGCAAACATGGCAAGATTCCGTATTTGTGTCCCAACTGTGGTAATATTGCTGACTTCGTACTGGAAAGCAGTCAGCTCTAGGCAGCATTTCTTCTGTATGGTATTTAAGTTAAATTATTACCACAAAAAAAAAAAAAAAATCCACATGCACTCCCTTCTTCAATTTTCCTTTTGTTTTTTGTTGTTATTTGTTTTTTCGTTGATGTTTTCTTTCGTACCTGGCATATGGGAGACAATGTTTTCTCCAGCTGGGTTCCTTTTCTCTGGTACTTTGGTGTCTGCCAGTCATGTGTGAGCTACACACACGTATACACCTTTTAAATGAAAAATGCTGTGATAGCAGGAGGCCAACTGGGTGTGTAGCACTTCACGCTCCCTCCCCTCCCTTTAGCTATTTTGTTACTTGTAGATCCTGGTCTAATTATTTAGCATTAAACGGACACTAACTCTGTGGGGTGTGTAATCGTATTTATAGTACTGTTTTATTAGTTTGCATTCCATCCTGGTAGTGTAGTGATGTCATAAATAACAGAAACATGGTATCCAATGCTTGGGAAGGGGTTTACCCGGTGGCCAAGCCATATTTTACTTGTCGTTATTCCATGTGTGGTGGGAGGTGGGGAAATACCGTGTGTGCTGTTAAACATGCCAGGTCCCTGCACAGGTTAGACAGAGTCCCAGTGCTGTGCTCCATTGGGAAAGAAATGCCCTGTGAATGTGATGTGGTTTAGATTTATAGCAGCGTGGCTTGCAGTGTGTTTGCTGCCTTAGTCAGCTGTGAGAGCGCCCTGCTGGGGCCACTCCTTTCTGATGGAAAAGCAGCAGCTGGGAAGGTGCTGTTTCAGGCTCTTGCCGTTTAAAAAAAAAGAGCGAGTGGGGGAAAACTCTCTCTAAGTCCAGAAGCTGGCATTGGAGGGGGAGAGCGCGGTCATGTGGTTCTGGCCACCCTACCCTCTGTCACAGTGTGGATGAGAGCTTTTTGCTCTTATCCAATCATGCCTGGAATGCCGCTTGCCACTTGGGTTATTTCTGCTATCTGTCGCTCCTGGTGCCGCAGTGCTAACAGTTTGGCAGATGGGACACTTTTTCTTGGAGTTTGTGCCTTTGGTTTGTGACTTCTGGCAGTGCCGGGCCTGTTGTTGCCGCTCGCCCTCGCCCTCCTGGCCCCCCTGGTCACCATGGCCCATCGGCTTCGGTTTCATTTTGGCTCTGGTCGCAGCAACACAGCCCCCGAATCAGAGATCCTAGACCAGGAGAGAGAAGACGACTTCTTCATGGCATTCCACACCCTACCACGGAGAAGCAGCCCGCACCCCTTCGCCCAGAACGTAGGGGAGGATGGCGACGGAGGCCTGCAGGGAGGCGTGGGCGCGCTCAAGCGGAGCTCGTCGATGTTCATCCCGCAGCTCCTGACCAGCATCGACGCCCGCCCCACGTGCAGCTCCTCGGTGCAGATCTCCCTGCAGCGCAAGGCTGCGGATGGGGCCACGGATGGGTGCGGGCCGCCCGAGGGCGCCGACGATGGGCCTCCGTGCGCCACGCCGGACCCCGGGGACCAGGCCTCCGCCACCGCCACCACGAGGGCCTCGCCCCAGAGCGGTTCCCGGGAGCCCTCGCCGAGGGACACCCCCGGGAACTCCCCTCCGAGGGCAGCCCGGGACCCGGGGCTCCAGGTCAACGGCACGTGCGGCCGCCGCCGCGTGCGGTGCCCTGGCCCCGTGGACTGCCCCGAGGAGGCTGCCCCGGGCCTGCGCATCCAGCACCGCGCCTCCAGCGCCGATGTGCGCCAGGTGAGGCTGCTGCCCCTCGGCCCGGATGGCCAGGGCGGCCCAGCGGCAGCAGAGCCCAGGCGCTGGTCCCTGCAGCACGTTCCAGATGCTTCTGGAAGCTCCGGGAAGCGGTGTTTTGTCTTCCAGTTGCAGCAGCCCCAGCAAGGCGCTCTGGGGTCAGGCAGTGACCTCAACTTTGGCTTCACGGGCACAAAAGGGGACAGGTTGGTGAGGTATCCCCGCATTCGGCTGGAGAGGAGCACCTCGTACCCCACGCAGCCCCGAAGCGAAAGAGGGAGCCCCACGGAAGATCGGGGAGCCCCGGAGGCACCGCCTCGGGCTGGCAGGATGGCTCCCGAAATCCGCAGGACGAACTCCGCAGAGAGGACTCCGCAGGGCCAGGGGTGCACATTTAAGATCAGGCAGGATCAGAACGCGGGGCAGCAGCATTTTAGAATTCTTGTAACCCGGGGGCCGGAAGAAGCTCCCCAGAATCCCGAGGAGAAAAGCGCCAAAAGCCCTGTTTCCACGGGAGCTGACGCCACGGTAAGTTCACGGCTTGTTTACATGTGTTTACTGATTTCAACTTCGATGCTTACTCTGCGGCGTAACCAAAATAAACCTCACCCTCTGTCCCGGGAGTTTCCCTGCTTCAGGCCAGCGGATCTGAATGTTTGGCCGAGTTCTGGCACGATGATTTGTGGTCCAGAGTTTGGTGCGCAAAACACCATTTCTGCAAATGCCTTCTGTAGGTCCTCAAAGTCAACGAACTTTGTCTGTTTGGGAAATCCAAACAGAATACCTTCCCCCTGCTTTTATTTTTCTGAATAGAAGAATTTTGAATAAAATTTATTACTTTAATCTGCCAAAAACCAAGTCAGTGCCCCAACATGTTGAT